CAGTTGTGTGTCATGCCCAATCATATTTTGAAAAACTGCGATTAAGTGAATCCGCGTTAAACAAACCGCGAAATAGCGAGGGACTACTGTAGTTATTTTAAAGGTAACTAAACTTGCTAAGATATCACGTTTGCATATCTGACCCTTCAAATACTGCAGCTTGAGTGGGCAGCATCTGATGAGCTGGCTGAACCACAATTTCTGATAACTATATGAAGAGAAATTCAGTATTACGTAAAGTTGAATTTCGACAAAGTAAAACAGCCACTAACAGCAGATTTGAGAGTGAGATACCTGTAAAGTTGAGTCGATGTGTTAGAATGCTTTATGGAGCCTCCTTAGGACACGCTTCAATAGACAGATGTGTTTGAAATCCCATTCCAGGAATTAAAGCTATAAAGATTCACCTAAATTTTGAAGGTTTCACCCCTGAGGAAAAATATAATTTCAATAAATTTGATACAACAAGCAGGTCAGATTGGTTCCATAAAGTCCAGAACCTGTGGGGTGTTCAACCAGGTGGTGCATATGTATAGTCTAATTTCTAATTGTTACTTTTTGTTAAGTTACTCATTATATGTCTTGTAACAACACACACACACACACACACACAAAATAAAACTAATTTTAGCTGAGCAGACTTTTTTTTTGTCTAATAGGAACGTGTCTTAGCGGTTGCTCAGTTCAGCCCAGTTCAATGTTTTCTTGTATTTGTGAAATGTTTGCTCAAATCAAGTTATCCTTCACAACGATTCAGTGATTCAGTGACCCATTCATTCTCCATGTGTCCATCCATGTCCTCATTCATTTATTCAGACTGAAAGTCACAACACAGTCAGTTGACAGCAGCTTGGTGGCTCTCGGCCTGCAGCTAAGGCTAAAAGATTGGCGGTTTCAGTGGTGGGGCTTCATTAGTCTATACAAACACAATTCAATTAGATTTCAATTAGTCCGACAGCGGAGGTCACAGACGTGGTGGGTTCCCCGGTAATTAATCCGCAGAGCCGAGCTAAGCCCGAGCTAAACTGAGCCGAGGCAGGCGTTGTGGGGACATCTAGGTGGCTGGATGGGCATAATGTACAAAAGCCATTCTGGTGGGTGTGAGTGAGAAGGAGGGGCGGCGGGTGGGGGGTGTCTGCTAGCAGATCCCTACTGACCTTGATTCACACGCGCTCAGCTGGGAAGGGGAGGAGGGAGGGATGAGGAGATGGATAGCAATCTGGTCAACACAGACAGATAAAAACACAACACATATACACTTTAAATACAAACCAGCACACAGAGAACACACAAGAGGGACAACGGAGACAGAAGGATGAACTGAAGAGAGGGGGGGTCAGAAAGAAGATGGCTCTGACAGACAGGAGGATGGATGAAGGGAGTGAAAGACTAGTCTGACATTCTTAATGGAATGAGAGTATCAGCAAAGGGATGGATGATGAAAGAGTAGTGCAGGCACTGAGAGAGAGCCAGCCATTCCGCCGTCTGATACAGAAGGGAAGAGGATGAGGAGATGGAGGGAGCAGAAAAACAGACAGAGAGTGTCTTTGCTGTAGTCAACACAGCCTGTGCACTGTCCATTGGCCTGTGGTAATATCACTCCCACCATCTGCGTGCACGCACACATATGTGCGTGCACGCAGACAAAAAGATGCCGGCAGGTTACATCAGCTGCACTAAGTCACATAACAAAGCCCATAGTCACAGATCAGGATTAAACAAGAGATTTGTAAGTCGCAACTATTGGTGTCGACATGGCAGCCTGTGCTGTGGACTGATGGGAGATTAAAATCCCATTCATCTGTCGGGCAGAAACTCAAAAAATGTCTCATTTTTGATTTGCCAGTTGTGATCACGTTTCATTGGCCCTGGAGCAATAAGTCTTATACGCAAAAAGGAAAGAAAAGTCAAAATAATACATCGAGTTAGACAGAAGGAAATAATATTTCTTGCTTGCTGTTTTTTTTTTTTTTTTTTTTATAAAAAGAGCTCTGTCTGGAGAAACTGTTGATAAATTAGCAAAAACTTTAGCAAAGTAGACACTGCTTGAGAACACAGATGTAAGTAAGAGCAAAACTGTGCTATAAAACGAACTTTATATGAATAAGCAATCAGCAAGTCATTCTGTATATTATACCACAACAACTGATCGTTGTTGGACTGTAGGTGTGTTTAATCGTCCCTGCATCGTTTCAGATGGTGCTTCAGCCTGTTAGAGACGCAGTGTGCATGTCACAAAACACCAAGTAGCATCCTGTTGTCCAGGTATTTTCAGATGATATAAATATTTATGTTTTGTATAAGTATATATGTGTATGAGTGGGGTTTGGTGGTGCAGAGGTTAAAGAAGGTAGACCTGTGATCGGCAGGTCACCAGTTCGACCTCCCGGACTGACAACATAAAAAAATGTGGGTGGGAAAGATGAAGCACCCACACCTGCCTCCACCCTCATTTACTCCACTCTGGGCCCTTGAGCAAAGGCCTTAACCCCCATCATGC